CCAAAGTTGATGGATAGTCATTCCTTTTATCAGTAGCGAGGCGCAGAAGCGTAGTGGCTGACATAATACTGAAAGGAATTCGTCTCTACAGAATCCTTCAACCGGATCCGGTCGATGCTGGTCATTCTCAACGTCTAAAGCGTATAATTACAATTTTAACATTTGTTCCTTGACTTGTGTTCATATTAATCATGTTTTACAAAAGTTGCTGTTCAACTGGAATTTCTTGTAATTTTTGTTTGGCTTAATTGCTTATTAAATTGTGGCAGAGAACCTGACTGACTGAAATCAAGTTGACTCGATAGGCAGAAATGTGAGAGAGAGAGAGAGATTCCATTTCAATCTTCTTTTAGTGTGAATTAATTGACTCAGTAGGGAAATACAACACTGTTTAATCACTTATCAACTGCCTAATTGATAAATACACTCAGTCGTTTCACTTGAAGGAGACAAATAGGGATAATTAAAACGTCTATTCTCAATACATTTTACATGAAAGGCACCAGTTTCGAGATATCAGCAATATGGCACATGAAGTAAGGGTTATTTACACGTTCATTATTTCTACAGGAATATATGTTGTATGACATTTTGGCTTACATGTACGATGAAAGCAAAGCGTAATACATGTGGAAATGAAGTTGTGCAATTTTCTTTTCACAAGTACATTTTTTAAGTGCAACAAAGAAGTATGATTTTGCGAGTGTGCATTATATGAACTGACAAGAGAGATGGATGACTGGATTGGTGTCCAATCATAAATTTCCTAATCAGGAGGCCTGTTTCCACTGATACTATTATTGATAGATACATGAATGACCCTATATACCTCACTTGAATACCACTGATTGATTAAACGTGCAAGCCTTTATTCGTGTTAATTGTTCAGCAGTGAGTCAAACCGATAAAGGTTTAATACACCTCTTGGATAATGAGGATTTCATCCAGTGGGGAGTTTCTCGACTTTCAACATTTTGAAGTCAATTCGATTGAAGCAAACAGCATTCAATGAAGTGTTTGTCTATAGTGAATTTGTATTAAATGTTTTCAAAATATCAAGTATTGATTTTGTAGGGAAATTTCTATGATTGATTTGACGATTTTATGATGAGCGGACATTAGTTAGAGAACCACTGGAAAACCTGCAGTGAGTACTGGACAGCTGTTTCGTCAGCCTAATTTGCCACTCTTCATCAGTAAGCACCGATTGATAGGGTTCGAATCAAGGACGTTCTGGCTACAAGGCTAGCGAGTTCGTAGACCATGAAGGAGCTACTGGAACCCGATCCAATGACCAGCAAGCCCATAACTTCTAACTTCTGCAAACTCATGACATATCGCGACCACTTCACAATGTCTTGTTTGATGAGCTACTATCTCACCTTCAACGTGCTGCACCCTACCGGTCACGGATTCCCACAAGAACCTCAGGTCAACTGCCTGAATACGGCCACTCACTAGTTAGCATCAGATTAATTTTCGAGTACTAGTTTTATGGGGAATTTTGTTTCATTGGTTCGAGGATTTCATCATGATATCATCACATTCTGGGTTCGAACCTCAGCGGTGGGTGCGTTGTGATAAAGAGTCCCAAACTAGGACTGAACAGCTGTCCAGCACTCCTAGGATTTCATATTACTTTGTGTTTGTGTTCTTCACCTTGGAGTTATTCAAACAATGGAAATTATTGCTTTCCTAGGAAATAAAACCTCAAAGTTGCTTTGTCTCATGAGAAATGAACATGTTTTCCTAACGGCAGTGCCAGGTGATATCATACTCACTGGAATTATATACTTTGGTACCAACATTGTCCAAACGCATTTGTGTGTGAGAGGTTTACAATTTTATTTCAAATAATCAAAGATACGAAGTCAGTTCCATATACTCAGCTACTGTATGGTGGAAATGCCTGCAAATTTAGTCATAGATGCTCATTGCAGTGTATCATTGAGGCTTTTAGGGTAGAGAAAAGTCTTCTGTTTGTCGCTGTTAACAGTCCGTTGCTTGGTGACAGATATCCATATTATATGTGTGGTTGTTGACATGTCTGCTATATTTTGCTATGCATATTTGGATCGACACTCCATTATAATTAGCCATTCATGTTAAGACTGTCTATTGGTTTGTTCACACACTTGTCTGAATGGTCATATATATTTCGCTCTCACAATTTGACTTACTCTACTTACTTTGGTGTGATACCACTTATTGCTTCTCCTTGTGTTTGGAAAATAGAAGTATCATCGCAAACCTAGTGGTCTTCTGATTTCCGCTTTCTTGCGTCAGGACAATTAAATTCTCGACCAGTACATAGCAATAATTTGGCGACGAGTACATAACAGTCGCCAAAATGTTGAGTTCATTTAACATATTTCAGTATAACGCTAATTAAATCGACTAATCGCATCAATTCATGAAACAGCTTTCAGGTGGTAATAGGTGTGTATCATCATGAATGAAGCATCGTTCACCTTAAATTTCAGAGTTTTCAGTGGTTGCCACTCAAGAGAACACCAACCAAATTTGTTACAACTGAGTGACTACCACGCAGCTGTTCGCCACTTGTGAATAAATAAAAGTTTCAGTCATATTGACGAATTTGTAACCGTGTGAGACAATTGTGCTCTATTCTACTGATTGTTTGGCATGATTACTTGCATACCGCTGATATTCACCAGTAATGTTCGGTAGTTAGGTGGACCAAAGTGATGTATGCACCTGTCAGTCATTTCTCTCGTTTGAGGCTAAGTTTATCTGCGGTTTACCAGGATTCACATAAGCTCATGCAGTCAAATCAACTGTAACCATCCGTATCCTGGCTGAGGACTTTGTCAAACGAGTATTAAAATTTGCGAATTAATTTGTGAATCGCTACTTACACATTTTTCTGTTGTCAACTTCGTTACACTAAGGAGATGTTATTTCAAACTTTCAATACTTTCATGACCTATTTTATTACGTCTATTGACCAAGGTTCACGTTACGCTCTTCAGATTCGTTGTTTTACTTACACAACGCGTTTCATTCCACTTTTTTAAATTCTTCATTACTTGACAACCGTCCATAAATACCACATATGTATTCACAACATACCAATGATATGACTTTTTACTTATCATTCTTATCTGTCACAGATTGAAATTAAGTATGGCGTATTTTATCTGCGTGTTTATTCCTCAGTGGTACTCACTTTGTATGTCACACTCCTGACTATACTCGCCTCTTGAAACAGATACTATTTTCGTGATTATATATACACACGCATATCACTGAGCAAATCAGTTTCACGTTGTATCATGCGTCGGTGGCACAGTGGTTAGGACTCCCGCCGACCATGCACATGGTCCGGGGTTTGAGCCCTCGCCGATGCACACCTGAATCTCTATGGTCCGCCTGCGAATTCTGGGCTACCGATATCCACGCTGAAAATTCCGTACATGTACCGAAAATACGGTGTGGAATCAAGCTGTAATCAAAAATTAAAAATTAAAATAACTATTGATCATACACATGTCAAATGATAGTCAAAACGCACTGACTTTTATATCACCTCACATTTCTATCATGATACAATTTCTGATATAATTCTCAATCGTCTTCAATGAAAATTATTTACCAATAGGAATGGATTTGTAACCGAAGAGGCTGAGACATTTACTGAAACTGCAATTTTTCGCTCCTATTATTCTTGTTTTGAAAATATCATGAGGATGTTCAAGTTATTAGGATATCCTGTTGTCCAACGATTTAGATGAAGCAGGACTATCGATAGATTCGGTTTCCTTAGAATGAACTGGTATATGTGCACTGTAGTCTATATTTACACACTAATGAGTCGGTCGTATAATAATTAATCAGTTCCACTAAAACAGCTCAAGTCGTATTTTCACACATCACTGGTGATATCCATCAGCGCACTACGATAGCATTAGTTTCATCGAGTAACAGATAAATCCTTTCGCGACATCAGAGTATCACATGAATTAATTAAATTGCACCGTGGAACAGTATATCTTCAGTTATGCTACTCACTGGAAAGCCATCTTGTGCAAAACACTTTACACATAATCTCTGTCGTCATAATTTTACCAGTCTAAATAGAGGTTAGGAGATGTTAGCAATGTAATAAAAAATGAATTCGCCTCCTAATTTCTTGATTAATGCTGTACTGGGGAGAAACTATTCTACCTCTTCAATCAAGGTAGCATCGAATTCCTTTGAAACTAACAGCGTATGTATTATCGTAAGGATGAAGTGAGTTGCATGTATGAATAGGAAATTTGAAATCTGAATTAACAAAAACCATGTCAAAATGTCCCATAAAAATTACATTCATAAAAGCAGGAAAAACACTATCTGGAAAGTAAACAACGAGTTTGACCATCAGTGGCAATAATGTCTGTTCAATCTCTGAGTGAAATGACGCAATGACTTCGACACTGTACAATTTACAACATCTTCATTTCCACTCATATCATTGTCGTGTGTGTAGATGTCGCCGAATGTAGATGTTTAGTGACAATGAAATAGACATTAGTGTGCATCGATTCAACTTATCCGATATCGAGGCTCAAACCTACTTCATTAAATCAAGATTCTGCAGTGAGTGTTTGATTTCGTTAGGGCACTTGTTCAGTATCTCTGAATTCGTAATGAAACCATTCATCTCATAAAATGGAAAAACAAGGGAAAATTTCACCAACTACATCTACAAATCATGATTACTTCCCAATTCCTTAATGACAGATTCCTGAGTTCAATGTGAATGTCCCATTGACTTCCATTATATATATATATATATATATATCTTTTGTTGTTAATATACCGACACATAGTATTAGGACAAACGACTCAAAAAATATCGCATATGCTGCAATCATTGTGAATCCGTGTTTATTTCAAAACTGTTGCATATCACAGGCGAAGTGAAACTTGGAACACACACAGATAAATATCGTCAACACATAAATTTCTTTCAGACTACGCAAGAATTAACTCACCTCCAAACTCTTTGATATTCTGTGAGTAATATCTCATCCAATCAAGATCAGATTGTATGTCATTCAGATTCCATGTACCAGAAACTATAACCTTATATCCATCTAGAGTGGCATTGTAGACATGTTTTTCCCATTCTACAGTTTTCCAGATATGAATGATTGTTTTGAAGTCAGTCTGTTAAACCGAATGAAACATTTGTAAAGTTAGTGGTATGAACCTCAAACTGCTATAACTATGCAGTTTAATTTGAAAGGTATTAGCGGTTGATTATTAGTCTGGAAATAGAGGATGCCACATTATCGAACCGATGAAATATTTCTTCTACAGGTTGACTGTGTAAAGTCATTTTACCTAAGATATCGAATTTTGTGATGCCTCTTTTCAGAGGCTTGTGAGGCTTTTGACATGGACAAAATATGCAACACGTTAGATTTATTCAACCGAAGAATGAAATTAAATCACCTCCGTTGTTTAATTATTTAGTAAACTCTTCAAGATGAGTAGCGACCATAACTTGAATTAAATAAATATTGATTTGATTCTGTTCATGTTTGTCAACAGTGAAAATGTGGATAGAAGTTTCTTTCTGTTCGAGACTCACCAACTAGTTTTATGATCACTCTACTGAACGACAGGTTAACCACTGGAAATGGGAGCAAAGCCACAAGCCAGATTGTCTGTCTGGGATCCCACGTGTCAGCAGACACTCATGCCAGAGTTATGGAGAACAAAAGTTTTCACTAACGAAGTGAACTCCTGCGCCATGTCCAAACTGAATAATCACATGAAATAACTCAATTGATCAAATACAACCAGATGATTTCACAATCGAGCACAGGGATTATTCCGTTGTATTTAGGTCGACTGGGTTGTGAGAGTGAAAAAGCTTAGCCAGATTCAGCATGACAGACTCCACTGGACAAGTAATAGGAGAAAATATTCTCCTATCACCATACATGGAGTAACCCCCAAACGCAGCATTCAGCGACCTAAATCTGTTTGCCTGATGGTGATGAGATAGATGGATTATTCTATCTCTAGACACCAAATCAGCCAACATGGATCAAATGTTTCAGACGTGAACTAAAATAACTTGAAAATAAGTGCTTGCAGTGATCCATCATTGAAGTATTCGTCAAAATATATCAGTGAATCACAACAATCCTCCTTATCATCAAATAAATAGGACTGATAATGTTGTGTCAGCGAGATAATTACCACACAGATAATCGTGACTGAATATCGAGTGTATTTATTTAATTACAAAAATATTTTCCAAAACTTACTCCACATTCGTCAGCATAACTCTCCTGGTAGACAATAGGAGTGATCGGTAAGTCAGGGTCTGTCGTCATCATGTTCTTAACAATCTCAATAAGTTTCACCAAGTAATATCTATGTAATTGATAATAATCCTCACCGAATTTCTCGTCTTTCATGAATTTAGTTATTTCTGGATTCGAACTCCTAAAATAAACAGGAAGACATTAAAATAAACTTGTTCATTGTTCTTGTCGATGATTCAATTTAAACTGCCCACAAATAAGGAGCAGCAATATCAAGTCTTCCGTTAATCTACATGAATTAATTGTTAAAATACAATTTGATCGGAGATTGTTGATGAGGATTTTCTATTCCACTCAATGGAAGGAAGAGAATGAGATAGATGGGTGCTGTAATACTCAGTGTTCTACTGAAGAATAAGAAGAAGAAATAGTCGTGCCTTATGGAAAGTTGTCTGCATTCGTTTATATTAACCAATCAAAAGAGGAATAATGTGAGATTATATTTCACTGGCAATTTGTGGCCACCATGCTCGATTGCAATAAATGTCTTGCAATCCACTGGTAGTATCAGATAAATGGACACTTTAATACAAAATTACAATCTGGTAAGTCAGTCACTCAGGTTAAGAAACTGTCGAAGGTTGTTGTACACTGTTTCCTGTACACACAATTTTGATGCAATTCATCAGACATCTTCAGCACAAACTTCAAAATGACGTCATGACAACACTATAAGTGGTGTGTTTTCTCCATATTACTAATCAATCTACAAACCGGCAACCCAAATGCTGTGGGGTCTCATTAAAACAATCTATTAGTAATAATAATAATTTGCTTTATTCCAGAAACAGTACTAGTGGTACAGTGTGGAATTTTCCGCACTTATCTACAATACTGCATCTAATTATTTTTCAAATATTTGAAAAGAGTATTTCAAAAAATAAATATAAAAAACAACAACAAAAACACAAAATAGTAAAAAAAATGCGAAAAAATACCAAGAAGTGGAATGGAAAATAAACAACATTCTAAATAATATCTCAGTACTGGCTAATTGAAGCTATGATATGTGTATGCGTAGTGAACAGCAACAGCTATAATCCTACGAGAAGTTAAGAAATCATATTAAGAATGTTTATCGCATCATTAGTTAATTTGATTAAACTGCACTAAACAATCATAAAATAAACATTTCAGGCTTTTTTATAGTCAGCACTAATGCAGTGTTTGTTGTGGTAGTGTGGATAATCATGCATAATACAAAGTTTTAGGATGGTGATAACGGCGTTCACAAACACGATTGTCAGTTTCAATATTGCCGAACAAAAAAACAATCACAAAAACTAATATCACATGAAGGCTGTTGGCAGGATAATTTTGTAATACTCATAGTGCTAATATAGTCGAGACCAGTAGATACACAAAAGAAGGAATAGAATACAGAATAAAAACGTAAGCCAATGATAATAATTTTAGGTAGCTAAGTATGTTTAAGAAGGGTGTTCACCATAGAATACAAATGGGAGAGAATATGGGAGAAATAAAAGGGCCAAAATTATTTTATTAACAACAAAGCAGGTCATAGGTTTCGCGCTTAACATTGTCTCTGTCACTTAGAACGCGGGCTAGCCAAATATGGTATCGTTGGGTTCCTATGCTTGGTTGTACGAGCATATATTATTTTATACTGATTTCTGGTTCTGCCTGACGAGATGAAAGGAGAGAGATGGGAATAGATGGGGTGTTGAGGGGGCGGAGAGTATGGTTTCAGACCATTTTTCGCATGTATTCAGATGCTTATTTATTAATGTAGTGACGAGCTGACTGAGTTTTACACCACTACACCTACTAACTACCTTCAACATCCTTCTCAGGATGGTATAGTCCTTTTCAGTAACCCAGGAAAGACTAATGGTGAGCAGTAAAGTAGAATAGGTAAGGTACGAGAGTTGACAAATTGTGAAAGCAGAGGTTGAGTGACTCCAGTTAGTCTGACTTTCTTAATGTAGTAGGTTAGACGAAACACTTTCTTGGAAATCATTTGGATATGGGATGACCATGTAAGGTCGGAAGATAGGACTAATCCAAGGTATTTTGCATTAGACTTAGTTTCAATTTTAGTCCCCTCAATACTACAGGCTTCATGAGTGCTTACTAGTGTTCGTAGACCTCGTTTGTGCCTAAAGGAGAAGTCAATAGTCTGGCATTTTGAGGGATTCTACATGAGGGCATTTAGTTTAGACCACTGACTGATGTCCGACAGGAAGCTATTTAGTTTGAAACAAAGTGATTGAGAAACTACCTTTCATGCCATTTCCTAGGGCTTAAATTGACAGCTGTTTCCCTGTTACTGCTAAGGAATATTTAATGAAATTCAGTTGAGTTGATGAGCAAGTTGTTTAAATGAGAGAAGTTCAGCGTCTGTTAATCTGAGACAGAGAAAAGTATGTCTTCAGTTTGAAATGAAAATATGGCGATGCCATAAAATTGATTCTTTATTTACTCTTGCATAAAGTCAACAGAACTCACCAACACTCATAGTCAACCTCATTCCCGCCAAGATGAATATAATTGTCATGAAATCTGCGGACTATTTCTTCAAAGAATTTCTTCAGAAACCCATACAACGATGGATTGACTGGATTCAATGGACCCAACTTTCCATTTGGTTGAGCGCCGTTGTAACATTTTGTTAGTAACTCTGGATATCCTTTCCCCCATGATAATGTATGCGCTACAAAAGATGATTGTAACAGTCAATGGAAGTCAGCCTTACAATATTTCGACAAATAATGTCGTTGAGATACAAAACACCATGATGAATGGACTCACCATCTGAAATTGATTCGTATTCTGCTGTCTGAAGTTATACACTGTTCAACTCACATAACACATGTATTTCACACTAATTACGTTGGTCAATTCAAAGATTAACTGCAAGACGTTGAATGCAAACACTGGACCAATGATATCCACGTTGTTCACTGGTTGGATAATTCTCTATATTGACTGGAGTATATTAGACGACTAAACAGAATCACAAGCTGTGGATTTTTCACAACCGCCTTGGGTTTATAATTTCTAGCAAAATCAAACCTGATACGTAACTCAGAAGAGGTAAACGCCTCTCATCATCTCCTTGCTTCAACATACCTTCAAACACAAAATCATGTATAAACTGCTCTACATTCATCATGACTATGTTGAATTGATTGAAAGACAGTTTACTTTCAGGATTATTCCAAGAGCATGTTCATACTCATTCAAATATTTTCACTTGAACTCACATGATGGATAATTAGATCATATTAAATATATATATTTAAAATTATCTACCTGGAGTATCAAACTCTGGAATGACACGAATCCCACGTCGACAGGCATAGTCCAACAGATTTTTCACATCTCCGTCACTATATATGCACTTCAGCTGATGATATGCACCCTGTTGTAGTTTAAACAAATATTTTGATCAATAAATGACCTGATTTTCATCTTACTCACCTTCTCTGTCAGTTTTGGACAAGTGGTTGAGACAAAGGGAAATGATTGATCATCTGTAATATGCCAATGAAACACATTCATCTTCACCATGGCCATGCTATCCTGGTAAGAGAAAGCATCATACTGACTATTGCAATTCCTACTAATAATTTCTCCAGGACATTAAGTGGCAAGAAGTACCTTGCAGTATCTATCAACATTCCACGGTGTCCGAATTGTGGTTCGTCCATCAAAGATCCTGTAATTATAACATTCTATATGATGAAATAAATTAATGAAATCAAGTCATAAGTAAAAATGAAACTCACCCCTGAATATTCACCCTGGTACACCAATTGAAGTATGGTCTCGAGGGCGTGTAACGCACCCCAAACCTCGAAGGACTCTATGCTAATTTGAGATTCTTCTATCCACACTTGATCTGCAAAATGGTGATTGAATTAGTCGTTTTGGTACAACTCACATGATTCATCAATTGATGCATTGGGCCATAGCTGACCTAGCCCTTCGTCACATCCACTTCCAATTTTGATATTCAAGTTGTCTATATTGCATGTGACTACAACTTTTTCAGAAATTGGCAGATGTTTTAATTCCAGACGCTTTTCAAATCTCGTCACAGCTTCTGACAATATATCGCATGAGGAATAGTTATTTTTAATGTCAAGTGGACGATTTAAATAACAGACTGTCGAAGGTTTTATGTAACTTGACGGCTTCGGGACTATCGCTGTTGTATAAAATGAGTTATTGATCAGCAATGCAATCAAGAACAACATAAAATTAAAAATCATGATTTCTCTGTTCTTGTCAATATCTTTGTTACCTCAATCTCTGTAGATTTTATGCTAACACTGAAATGGACTTTGATCTCATCTGATGTTTATGGTTACTATATTAAATCGAAGAGTACAAGTACTTCAATGAAATATTCATCTGATTGTATGGTGATTCATTCATTAGTCTAACAAACTGTACTGGTTGATGTGAATGGTGTACAACTACTTATATCAACCAATCAGTAGTATATAATTTTTGTATGGAAGGAATACAACTGCCAACAGTTGACACACACACACACACACATGGGTTAACGTGTTTTATGTCAAGCCATGACAATAAAACTGATATGTGTCCATATATATATATATATATATATATATATATATGGTGATCTCTCTTTCTGTTTGCTCGCTTAGTCTGTGACCATTTCACTTTGATGAACCTGTCTCCTTTAACAATGTATATTCCCCTTATATTATATATAATATGAGTGTTTGTTGACAGTCCGTTGCTTGATGACATATATCCATATATGGTGGTTGTTGACATGTCTGCTATATTTTGCTATGTGTATTTGGATCGACACTCCATTATAATTAGCCATTCATGTTAAGACTGTCTAGTGATTTGTTCACACACTTGTCTGAATGGTCATATATATTTCGCTCTCACAATTTGACTTACTCTACTTACTTTGGTGTGATACCACTTATTGCTTCTCCTTGTGTTTGGAAAATAGAAGTGTCATCGCAAACCTAGTGGTCTTCTGATTTCCGCCTTCTTGTGTCAGGACTATTAAATTCTCGACCAGTACATAGCAATAATTTGGCGACGAGTACATAACAAAAACTTCTGCTGATTGCTGGGCAGTGGTAGTCAGAAGTTTTAGATCCTTATAAGGAAACACAGTAACTTAACTAGAATCACCTGCCAAGTGTTCAAAAATTCATATGAATTTCTGGTGAAATCGAAACTCGAAACCTGCCTCCAGGTAGCCAGTCCTTGTCTCAAGACAGCCTCACAGATAACAGAAGGGCACCAAAAGAATTCCAGGCGTACAAATTTTGGTTTGACCATTTTATCATACTAGAAAAACACAACAGTTCGAATCGCTTCTCTCTATCATACCATAGGCAGACAAGAGGTAGCACTAAAGTGTCAGTATATCTGAAAAATGACTGCGAACCCGATCTGTCTTTTCTTTTCCTCCTCACGCAATATGTGCATTCCAAGAGAAATAGGAGCAGGGTACAGGAAACGAGGAGGAACTATATTCCTGTGGGTACCATTTCTTTCATCGATTCATAAAATCTAGAAACCGAGTACTAGAATAGGTGGTATCTGTGCCCTCAGTTGACGCGTTCAAGAAGAGATTAAGCAGTCACAGATATCTACTAGAAAAGCCTTCCATCGTCAATCATAAATCAGAATGATTATGGTAATTTTGGTATTGGGTTATGGACAGTTTGAAGAAATATGGGAGTTATCATCAATTAAAGAGAAAAGGCGTTAAATCTCCAGTTAAAGCTCTGAGTTGGTCCCGCTTTCTCAGAATTAGCGCACACGGGCATTGATTACTGAAGCCCATCTGGCTGGTTGTTTGCTTGCGTTGCAATACTCTTAGTCAAATATATCAGATATAATAATGAGGTTTTATAACTTACAGTGAGTGAGGTGTACTTTGACAACCAATTTTCAATCAAATTCTCGCCGAAACAGTAAAAAATGGTCACACTCAATGTTGGTATCTCAATTCAGGGATAAGAATGGGAGACGAATAATTTTCTCTAAGAAAATCTGTCACCAAATTAAGTGTTACTTGACACAATAAGGTGTTCAATGCAGAACCATAAAATCACTAGGACATCTGTTTTCAGGAGTTTCCAGCGTACAGGTAACTGCTTGTTCCATCTTTAGTGATAAATCTGATGCCTAGGTGAGGAGATCTTTCTATTTCCTTCAGTCAATCTATACATACAAGAAGTTATCGCCAGTGTTTATTGAGCTTACGATCTGCCAATGATCAGCATATATGTTGACAGCCATGACAGTGAGCAAACTAACTGGTATCTCTGACATGAAATAGCTGATGAATTTCCGAGTACTAACTGTAAGCGCTAGTCTTTTGGTACCCCTAGTAAGCCTTGCGTTTAGTGAGGTCTCGGGTGGTTGTGAAACACCCTAAGTGAGAGGTTTTTGGTCCTTGAGGATATTTTAATCAGACGGCCCTGGTTCACTAGATAGTCTTTCCACTTGATTGAGGAAGAGAAAAGGGGTATAAGGTGAGCAGTAGCAACAGGTAAAAATGAAGAATGGAACGAGTGAGCAGATACCAAATTTGGAAAAATGAAAAAAATAGAGGAATAACTAGAGGCTAAAGGACTGACTGATAAATTAGGCACAAATGAATGACTAAATAAGAAGGTAAGGTGGAACTGTTAATGAAAGCATGGATAGGAAAATTACTTGTAAGTGGGACAATCGCGTCACTAGGCGATTGGTAAGTCTCCAAAAAATAGATACCAGCTATATCAGTACGCAACCTTGGACACGAGCACTCACAATTTCAGTGGACTGATTACATGGAAGAAATTTAGTCAAATATTATTCGATTGACTGTGATTTCTCAACTGATTTTAGACCACTTAATTGTTCTGAAGATTTGGCTCCCTAACTCCTTATTGTAGTTGGCAAAGTAGTCCATTTCAGTTGGAGGACATCGCGCCCATCCCATAGCAATGCCTGTATTATCTCCTTATCCAAGAAATGATCTGTAAGAAATAATACACATAAAAGAAGCCTTGAAACTTAATAATTATCCGGATAAATTAGTCAGAAAATATGTAAGAAAAATCAAATAAATAATGATAGTAGCGATAGTGATAATAATAATAACAATAATAATAATGATAACAGTAGTAGAGATAATAATAATAATATAATAATAACGACACCAACAATAAGGAATCTAAATCACCAACAGTAAATCCATACAAAGAAGGAACCTCTGAAGGCTTACGCAGAATTCTTAACAAGGCAGGAATAAAAGTGGCTGGCATTCAAACCAACCATAAACTCAATTAGAAACAAGCCTTGTCGGATCAATCCTGTGGAGCCTTTAAAACAAAACAATTCAGTTTATCTAATACCCTGCCTCCGATGATTATCACGTCGAATACATAGGTCAAATTAGCAGAATAGAGGCGGTCAGACTAGCTGAACATATAAACCTAGCAAAATCTAGATTGGTTGACCCGAATAAGATAACAAGAAATCTAGAGAATAGTTCAGCTATAGCAGTTACCACATGCAGTTACACACAACCATACAATAGGATGGAATGGGATAAGATGACAGTTTTAAAATCTAATGTCACAGGGTATAGGGAGAGACTAGTGCGCTACATTTTGCTTAGATACTTAAAACTCTCATTTCTTTGTCGTTTCTCACCCCGAAGTTCTGGAAATTATTGCAAGCCGTTTACTTTCGAACAGTAAACCTGTGGATATAATATCATTGACAACTAATACCTATAACAAACTGTTTGACATTTTGTGACCTCTTAACACTAACTCATATCTGTAATTGTATATATTGTTGGATTTACATGTTCAAGTTGGCCCAGGTCAGTGAGTTTATGGTTTTGGTACCATTTTAGTTAACTGTGCTTAACTGCATTGCATGTTGTACTGGGGATATGTGAAAGCAGATGGAACGGAAATGGACTCACCAAATTGTCAACGGGTGAGTCAGTGATCTACTCCGGTCACCAAGAAGATAACCACACGCACACCGAGGGTGTGGCTATCATGATTTCACCAACGGCAACGAAGGCCTTGATGCAATGGGAAGCAAACTCACCCGGGTTAATGACGGCCAGATACAACTCCAGAGGAAGGAAAGTGTCAATTATACAATGTTATGCACCCACAAACAACGCAGACCTCGAAAAGAAAGAAGAATTCTACAGAGAACTGCAGGCAACAATGGACAATACTCCAGCTAGTGACATTAAAATACTAATGGGAGACACGAACGCCAAACTGGGACCAGACAACACTGGAAGAGAACTCATCATGGGTAGAGAAGCATTTGGAGAAATGAATGAAAATGGAGAACTCTTCGCCGACTTCTGAGCCTTCAACGAACTAGTGATTGGTGGCAGTGTATACAAACACAAAGATATCCACAAGGCTACATGGGTGTCACCAGACGGGCAAACCAAAAACCAAATTGACTTCATCTCAATGCTGCTCAAGGAAGTGAAGGCGCAGCCTACTGGACACAAAAGCAAGAAGAGGAGCAGACGTTGGCTCAGACCACTATCTCGTACAAGGGACAATCCAAATCAAATTAAAAGCTTTCAGGGAATCAGGAGCTGCAGATAGACCACAAGCCAAGTTCAACACTCAGAAAATGAAGGATCACGCTACAAAGGACATCTTCATTGCAAACATAAGGGACAAAGCCGAGACACAAATCAACACCAGCGAAAAGGTCAGCGTCGAAAAGCACTGGGACAACTTGAAAACGGTGTGGAGTCAAACCTGCATGGAAGTTCTAGGCAGAAAGAAGAGACACGACAAACAGTGGCTCACTACGGACACTTGGAAACTAATAGAAGAGAGAAGGACGGTGAAAGAAAAGATTATCCAGTGCACTGACGAGCAACAAAAACAGGAGCTGAATGCAAACTACAATACACTGAACAAAAGAGTGAAGAAGAGTGCCAGGGAAGACAAAAGAAAACATTATGAAGCCATGGAAAGTAAATCAGAACAAGCTGCAGTGCAAGCAAAGGAGACCTCGCCACACTCTACCAAACAACTAGGCACCTTTCGGGCAAAAGTTCGACACAGATTAAGCCAGTAAAGGATGACAACGGAAAGTCAATCACCAAAGAGCTGGAGCAAAGAAAACACTGGGCTGAACACTTCAAAAGACTTTTAAATCGACCTCTACCTACAACGCGCCCAACAATACCAACAACGGAAGCAGAACTACCAGTGAACGTCGACCGCTCGACGAAATCAGAAGTCCTGAATGCAATCAAGATGCTAAAAGCCGGAAAAGCAGTAGGACCAGATGTGATCCCAGCAAAAGCATTGAAAATGGACCCAGAGACAACAGCGGAATTGATGACACCATTGCTGAAGAAGGTGTTGAAAGAGGGCAAAGTACCCAAGGATTGGAAGAAAAGATACTTATTCAAACTACCAAAGAAAGGAGACTTAAGTCAATGCAAAAACTGGCGCAGAATTATGCTCCTGTCCACCCCAAGCAAAATGCTAAGCCGCATCATCCTGGAGAGAATCAAACACGCCAACCTGGTTGAAAAACTTCGACCGTAACAAGCTGGATTCAGGGGAAACAAGTCATGTATTGA